GGCACTTCCAGTGCTTACTCAACAATTCTATGGACACTGACTACTATGTCTCCATCCCTTTTCAGACCCTGGCCTCTGGAACCACACCCCGTCCTCGTCTTGCAGCCTACACAGCCCGAATCATTTAAACTCTCCGCTTCTATATTTGGGATGCCAAATGATGTTTTAAAAAAAAATATCACAACCAGCTTGCAGTGCCCCTGCAACTTTAGTTTCTGACACAAATCAGGGACTTTGACATTGTCAGCAGCCCTTCCTTGGGTCCTTGTGCAGCTCACTCTCCCATTCTTCTCACAGGTTTCTCTAAACTATCTCTATTCTTTCCAAGTTTCTGACCCACTGGCTTCCCCCTCGGACTCAGCAGACCACCTACCTCCAATTTAATGAGCAATCAAGGTCACCATGTGCTTGCTAATCACTTTATTCCACCACCACCAAGAAACATATCTTCCTGCCCTTACCCTTTCCTCTTTCCTTTCTGTCCCAGAAGACTGTCCCTAATGCTGGCCAAGGCTAACCTCGGGATCCCACCTCCTACTCTTTCAGGATCCACGGTAGCGTTCACCTACCCCTTTTACCCAGCTACATCCCCTTGACCCACTGGCTCCTCAGCCCTCTGCTCCTATCTGCTTCCCTCCAGAACCAAGAAAGAGCAGTCCACACCCACTTCTCTCCTTCCTCACCTCCAATTTATTCCCCAACCCACTGCAACTGAACTATTGTCATCTTCCCAACTCCTGCCCCCAACACTGCTCAGGTGAAGGGCTACAACAGACCCCTTTCTTTGTTCTTACCTCACTGGTCCTCTCTGTAAAATCTGATACTGGTATCTCCTCCCTCCTGGAAAGTCTCCTTCTTGGCTGTCCTCTCCCCTGTCTGGTAGCGTTCTTAGTCCTCTCTACCTCCAGCAGTGTGTAAGTATGGGTACTCCTCAAGACTCTGATCGTGACCCTCTGCTCTTCTTTTTATAGCTCCTTCCTGGAAGGCCTCAGCCCAATCTCAGGCTTCCATGCCCCTGTTACACTGCTGTTTCCAAGCCTTAGTTTCTAGCCCTAGATCTCTTTGCTCTGCTAAGCTCCAGTGTTGTATATCCAGCTGCCGCCTGGACATACCCATTTGGGTTATCTTCAGACAGCTCAGTCAACCCAATGAATACCCAACTCATCTTCTTCAAAACCTGCTCCTCTCCCCACCATATTCTCCATCTTGGCGAATGGCTGTTACCCCTAATTCAGAAATTAGGTCAACCTTTTATCCTCTTGCCCTGATCTCTAAGTATTATTGATTCTACCTCATCAGTGATGCTCAGATGCCTCCTCCTACTTCATTGATTCGGGCCTCCACCATTGCTCTTCCAAATTATCCCAACAGAACTCATCTCATGGCCCTTCTCCAATCCAGCTTCCATTTGGTTGCCATCATCATCTTCCAAAAACACAGACCTGATCACAGCACTCCCCTGTTTAAATCCTTCAATGACTCTGGACAGCACTTGCCACAGTGCACTGAAAGCAGTCAACTGGTTTCTCTTCTTCAGGTTGCCGTAAGCAATTCAAGAACAAAGACAATGCCCTGATTCCCTAGTGCCTACACAATGCCTGACACATAGCAGGTGCTTCATAAATATTTGAGTGGAGAGATTCCAAGTCTCATCAGACACCACTTGGATGTGTTAACAGAAGAGCAAGGCGGTGGTTAAGAGCAGAGACTCCAGACAGGCAGACTTGGCAGGTCTGAGTGCCAGCACAGCCAACCTCCAGATATCTGGCCTGGGAAAGATTTCTTATCTTTTGTCAGCCTCAGTTTCCTCATGTGTTAAATTATAATACCACCTACCTTGCAGAGCATGAGATAATGCACCTGGAGGGATTCGCACAGTGCCTGTCACAAAGCACTCAATAAATGGTTGCCATTCTTATTACAATATTAATGATAGCAAACATCAGGTAAACACCAAGGTTGGAAAAGAATCCCAAGATTTTGGCCCTAGAACCATTGAGATGCCAAAAACCAAAGTGACTCACTCACTGTCACAATTATACATTAAGTGGCAAAATCAAGCTTGGAACCCAGTATTAATGCAAAGTAGGCCGGGCGTGGTGGCTCACACTTGTAATCCTAGCACTCTGGGAAGCCAAAGTGGGAAGATTGCTTGAGGTCAGGAGTTTGAGATCAGCCTGAGCAAGAATAAGACCACATCTTAAAAAAATAAAAAAATAAATAACAATCCCCAATTGACTTGCTGTTAAGCTGTTGGCTGTTTGATGGACTTGATCTACTTGCTCTTCACTTGGTAAGTGAAAGTGCTTTGTGAACTACAATATAAAGATGTATCTGGCATATTGCATTCATAGGTGTTTGTCTCTGTAAAATTGAACTTGGGCTAATGTGTCTTGGGGCAAGTTCATAATTACATGATTTTTCCTACTGTCAGCTGTCATCATCTGTTAAACTAGTAATCAAATGATTCCTCCTTGGAGCCTTCCCTAGAACAGTGCTTAAGGGTAGAGGGAGGAACAGTGCTATTGCCTGATATTTCAAAATACACGTTCCCTTTCTCTTTTAAGGACCACTTTGTTAAATAAAGTTTTAGGCTATCACAAGTATATCTAGCAGGATATGATTCTTACACATTCTTTCTCATTCTCACCTGCAGCAGAGGATCCCAGTATTAGAAAACTTCATTATGCTATGCAAAGAATGAGTATTATGGGAAAGAGCTTACATTTTGTCATGCAAAGCTCCACTCTGAAAGACCTGACATTTACAGCAAAATGGGATTTGCTTATTGGGATTCAGACAACAATCTACAACAGGGTTTGTCTACCATAATTAGATGAAGCCAGGACCTTGGGGCAGAGGGACAGGAAAAGGAAGGGAATAGAAGTATAGGGCACCCTTGCAAGGTGAGCTGGGCTCTGACCGTAAAGTATGATGAGAGTAAAGAGTTAAAGAAATGTCTGCAAGGTCCTCTGCTCTCCCAGGTTCTTCTTGGTGAGCAAAAACCAGACTGAGCTCTTTCCATCACTGGACTGAGACAGACCCCCAGTGCCTTTCTAGACATGGGCCCCGGGGGTGGATGGAGCATGAAAGCCAGTTACCACTTGACCAAGACACACACAAAGCCCATTTCATTCCAGCCAACAAGTACCCTAAAGACTGAAGTTAAATGAGAATTTCCTATTTATCTTCCAGTTTACTGATGACAATGTGTTAAGAATTGCTTCCATGTATATTCCTACTTCTTGGTGTGGCCTTCCTGGATTAATCCCACCTTTCACTGTGTAAGGATACTTGGCACCCCTTTGTGAACAGTCACGGACATTACATATGTTGGGCTCCACAGGAACCAGCATGCTTAGAGCCCAACAGCTGTCTGTGCAAGCAGACCCTACGATGCAGGACATGAGACCATGTCTGGGGTCTGGTTTGGCTGCAGGAAATTCTCTTCTACAGGCAGCCATGACTGTGACTCTGGACCCTGGCACCAGACCAGGGCACTCAAGAGGAAAAAAGTTGAACCGGGCACGGTGGCTCATGCCTACAATCCTAGCACTCTGGGAGGCCGAAGCGGGAGGATTGCTCAGGGTCAGGAGTTCGAAACCAGCCCGAGCAAGAACGAGACTCCATCTTTACTAACAATAGAAAGAAATTCATTGGCCAACTAAAAATATATATATATATATATAAAAATTAGCCGGGCATAGTGGCACATGCCTATAGTCCCAGCTACTCCGGAGGCTGAGGCAGAAGGATCACTTGAGCCCAGGCGTTTGAGGTTGCTGTGAGCTAGGCTAATGCCATGGTACTCTAGCCTGGGCAACAGTTTGAGACTCTGTCTCAAAAAAAAAAGAGGAAAAAAGTATTGGGGTAGCCATGGAGTCGCATTCTCTCAAGAATGAGTGCAGACAGTAATCATGAACACAAGGTCAGACCCATGACTCACCTTCCCAAGATGAGGGTGTGGACCACTGAGAAATAGCTGGCAGCAGCAACCAGACTGCCGTCACTGAGAGCACTCTTCCTCCCCCGCGCCATCCCTCCCTCATGCCCACTGATTCATTCTGTGCCTCACTCTCCTGGTCACACACCCTCTGTGCGAGGGGTTCACATGGCTTGGGGTGTTATTTTAAGTGTTCATTAATTTGTAGTAGGGATGAGGACAAGGCACCATGTGCGTTAACATGGGTTACCCTCAGAGGCTTGGTCAGTGCTTCTCAATGACTTCTAGCCAACTTCTAGCCCAGGATAGTACCATATAGAGACCCTGGATACCCGCACCCCCAAGAACTACAGCCCCACAATACCTTGTGAGAAGGCTATTTAACATGAAGGTAAAAAGAAACCACTACACAACTGCTTTTCCATTATAAAAATTTATCAAGGGAATAATTTGAGTTTTTAGAGGCTTGGTTTAGCAAGGTAAAAGAAGACTATAAACTATTAAAACACTTTAAATTCTTTTTAACCTATCAAGCAGGATCTAAATGAAATAAATCCTCCATTACCTTAGGAAAGAAACTATTTTTCCAAATCCATAAAGTTCATTTCCAAGCTATGCTCTTATCTTTACTGCCTTGTAACCCTAATGAGAACTAAACCTCACCAGCGATGGCTCCGCTGGAAGTCAAAGTAGGAAGAATAGGTTAATATCCGGACACTGATGAAGACTCTTGAGCCAAAAGCAGAGTCTGTGTATGTAATGTGACCATACAATTTATTATCCAACCAGGATACTTTTGAGAATGAAAGAGGGTTTGTTAATCACTCAAGAATAAAAGGCATAAAATGAGACATATGGCCACCCTAATGATAAGGCAGTTTGGGAAACTACATTTCTCAGTATGCCTTGCCCCTTGAAAGTCAAAAAGCTTGACTGGCACAAAGCACCCTGGGACCTATAGTTAGCACCATTTAACAGGTAACCAGTATAGGGCTGGGTTCTGACATGGAGACTCCTCCTTCCATGGGACATTTAATCAGACACAGGACACAACACCTGAGGTGAAATTTCAATGGATATTAAGTCTAGGGTAGAGCTTCTCTCTCCCCAACAATTCTAGCTTCCAAAGAAATGGAGTCAGTAGAGCTATCCATTAGTCCACTGCCCTGTTTCTCCTGGCTGCTGCATCTGCCTCCCCACATCACCAGCGTCCCCACTGCCGCTAGTCTTTTGGGGGATTCTGGGCCAGGTGCTGTTCCCACTCGACTTCAACCAATTTGTACAGCTCCATGGTGGCCTGGGCATCTTCCACAGAGGAATGTCCGCTTTTCCCAACCTGAACAAGGGTAGAAAAAGACAAAAGCTTGAAGCCATAAGCTGTTTCTTCCCTTCCCAACTGACTTTCTGCATTCCTTCTCCTATTCCTGCCACATAGTTTCTTCCACAATTAGTGGGCTACAAAGACACAACTTTGGTGGCACCCTACTCCTTATCTAACTTCAGGGGTTTAACTCTTAGGAAATCTTTGCTACTGTTTATCTCAATCCTTCCTGCAGCGATACGTGTAAGCCATATTATTTTAAAGTTCTGTAGAAACAGAACATATCAGATCAAAGACAGGCCTTCTAAGTCTTCTACCATCCCCAGTTCCTTAACTGTGCTCTATATGACATGTGTCCACACCTTCCTGCCAGGTAAGCCACCTCCTCCTGGAATGCCAAGCATGTGAATTATATATATGAGTGATCCTTTGATCCACTACATGACCCCAACTACCTGCTTTCTTCCTTTCTTAGTTATGGTTTTATACCCATTTAGGACTTTTTTCCTTTTTCAAAGCAGCCTTTGGAACATCCTTGTGAGGCTGAGAACAGGAATTATTATCCCTGTATTCAGATGGAGAGAGACTACTGGGCCCCTCAGCCCAAAGCTCTTCCAATCAGTGTAGCCTGCCTGGATTCTACAACCAGAGGGCTTCTGGGGTCAGAGCCTGGAGAGAGACAACAACAAGAACTTCTACCATGCCAAAGATGGGGGTTAGGGGCATGGCGGCTGACACATGAGAAAAGGCTACCTGGATGTCCCGGTTCAGCAGCTTCTTGGTGAGATGCTTCAGAGACATGGTGGCATTCTCCGGGCAGTCAGCCTTCCGGTTGAGTGGGGGGATATGGGAGGTGTCACGGGTAAGGGACTTGGGGTGAAAGTATTGAAGGGCTTTGAAGTCGTTATGGACGGCATGCCCCACAACTATCTTCCCTGTGAGTATCTTCAAGATCTGGAACAAGCATGGAACAGGAAGTGGTGAGGACAACTGAAAGGTGGAACCCACGTATTCTGAAAGCCCACCATGGCCATCACTCCTTCGGGGTTCTTTTCACCGATTCCTACCTGCCTCATCCATGAAATGCCCTCTACCACAAGTATTCTTTCTACTGAAATCCATCTTCTTCTTCTCCATTAGTAGGTAATTTCCATGGTGTAACCCTGTTTGGACTCACATTGTAACCCTGTTTGGCTCCTTACCTTCTCATTAGTCTCTGTCCCAGTGACAGATTTGCTTTCAATCCTAAATCATTCTCACATTTGAGATGTTCATGTAACTATCTAGTTCAGTTCTGGCTTGCTACCTGAAGTCTTTTAACTGTTATTAATATCATTATCCTGACCTTAGACACATGGCTGGGACCTATGGAATCAAAAATGGGCTCCAGGGAGGTAACAGAAGCCCCAAACTATATGCAAATAGATGTGTATGGTTATTGTTGGGGGAAGAGCATCTATGGCTTTCATCAAATTCTCAAAAGATCTACAAGTCATAAAAGATTAAGAATCACCTATAAGCCTGGGCAGTGGCTCATGCCAGTAATTCTAGCACTCTGGGAGGTCAAAGTGGGAGGATCGATTGAAGTCAGGAGTTTGAGACCAGCCTCAACAAGAGCTAGATCTCATCTCTATTAAAAATAGAAAAAAATTAGCCGGGCATGGAGGTGCACACCTGTAGTCCCAGCTACTCAGGAAACTGAGGCAGGAGGATCACTTGAGCCCAGGAGTTCGAGGTAGCAGTGAGCTATGATCACTCCACTACACTCTAGCCAGGGCAACAGAGTGAGACTGTCTCAAAAAAGAGAATCATTTATAGACTAAAGTTGCAGAAAAAACCTTATTCATACGAGTCTTATAACCAAAAGAAAATAACTTATCATTTGTTATTTTTTTCATTTTTAAAAGAGATAGGGTGTTGCTCTGTTGCCCAGGCTGGAGTGCACTGGCGTAATCATAGCTCACTGAAGCTTTGAACTCCTAGGCTTAAGTGAGGGTCTTTTTTTTTTGAGATGTGGTGTCTCGCTATATTGTCCAGGCTGGCCTCAAGCAATCCTTCCACCTGAGCCTACTGAGTAGCTGAGACTACAGGCAAGTGTCACCATGCCCAGCCATCTCAGGATCCTTTTTTTTTTTTTAAAACAATTTTTTAAAAACACGTTTATTGGCCAGGCGCGGTGGCTCACGCTTGTAATCCTAGCACTCTGGGAGGCCGAGGCGGGCGGATTGCTCAAGGTCAGGAGTTCAAAACCAGCCTGAGACCCCGTCTCTACTATAAAAAATAGAAAGATTAATTGGCCAACTAATATATATATAAAATTAGCCGGGCATGGTGGCTCGTGCCTGTAGTCCCAGCAACTCGGGAGGCTGAGGCAGTAGGATTGCTTAAGCCCAGGAGTTTGAGGTTGCTGTGAGCTAGGCTGACGCCACGGCACTCACTCTAACCTAGGCAAGAAAGCGAGACTCTGTCTCAAAAAAAAAAAAAACACGTTTATTTATTATTTAGTTACAATAGAGACATGGTCACACTCTTTCTCAGGCTGGTCTCTAACTCTGGAGCTCAAATAATCTGCCCAGCTTAGCCTCCTAGAGTGCTAGGATTACAGGTGTGAGCCACCAAGCCGGTCCCATGTCAGGATCTTAAAGCATGAAGACATATTACCAGTGAGGACTACCGAAGAATATGCCACCAGCTCTGAAGGCCAATCCCAAAATGAAGTTCCAAACAGGTTGTAAACAAAAGCAATAGTCCTGCATGGCCTGCCAAGGGGACCCCTTTGAAGTGGTCAGATTCACTGGGATATAGCTTAATCTCATAACCCTAGCTCGGGCACTGGGGAAGTGCTTTCTGATGAAAACCAGATGTAGGTGCTCCTGACTTCACATACAGTTTTACTGTCCATCATCACCTTTATTTTTTATTAACCTTAACACATAACCCTCATTAAAGCTAAGCAGATTTGCTGTCTCAGACCCATCCCATCTTCTACCTCGGCCAAGTCTTTACTTAGCTATGCCCTTTGTGCACAGGATGTTCTTCACTCTTTCTTCCAAGTATTTTCTAATAATCAGCCGCTTCACATATGATGAACCTCCTCCAAATGACTTTAGCATATAAGACATTATTAGAGCAGAGTGTGTCTACAGAAGGCTGAGTGTGGACCTGAAATTGCAATGACATGGACCAACGGCGCCCTCTGGCGGCCTCCCAAGCGGCAGGCTCCCCTCTGGCGGCCTCCCAAGCGGCAGGCTCCCCTCTGGCTCTCCTTCACTTCCTCTTCACCTCTCCCAGTTCACCCTCCTTCCCTGTTCATTCATTGTGCTCCCAATATTCAGCACAGGGCTAGCTAGAATGAGTGAGATGAGAACCTGACATGGCCACCCTGTCTTTTATGCCCTTCACTGCCAGATCTCTGTCCTAGTTACACAAATATGCTCCACTTGTCAACTTTCTGGCCTCTCCTACCACCAACTTTCCACATTTGCAACAGGCTACTTTCTGCTGAGGGGGAGAGAAGCTCTCTCCACCTCTTTCCTCTTAACCTTAGGTCCTAATTCTACAAGGCATTCCCAAATTGAACCTTTTCCCCTGACACTCATGCCTGCTGCTCTGTCCAGTTTCATCACTGGCTATTATTTCTCTGTGCAGATTCCCAGTTCCCCAGATTAGGATCCCACTTGGGACCTAAAACAGGTCTTGACTAATGAAGTTTATGATACCAGCTAATTGTATTTTCCTGATTTTCACCACTTTTTACCCCAACAGGACTTCTTCATCAACTGATATTGTCCCTCCCTCCACAAACCTTTGGTACCTTCTGAAAGTGATATCCTTTGCTGAAATATGACTTGGACCTCTCTTGACCCACCTTACTGCCACCATCATGCTCTATGCTTCTCACCTGGCCTCGAGCAATCTTGAAGGGTGTGGCATTCACCATGTGCTGTTTCCGGATACCACTCCATCTGGTCCGGTAGTCCACAATGTGGCAGGGTGGAAGGATGTACTCATCATAAAGCACATCTCCGTTGTAGTTGACAATGCTACATCGAGCCAAGGAACTAATATGCCCCTTGGGTCCTGTGCCCACCATCTCACAGTCAATTGCCACCATCTTCCCTGGCGGCTTCTGGGATGCTCCAGAGCATTTATTCTCTGAGTGAACTTGTGTGGAGTTCTGTGGAACATTCTCCTGAGGAGAATTCTTCTGAGAGGATTTCTTCTGAGGGGCCTTCTTCTGGGAGCGGGTTGGGTGGCTCTTAATCTTTGGAAGGGCACTCTGGAACTCCCCCAGCAAATCTACTTTAGCTATAACAGAATCAGCCTTCTTTGAAGGGGCAGGGGTCAGCCAAGACACTGCAGCTTTCTTGTCCATGGCCTGTTCTGACCCACTGGTGGAGGCAGCTGTCTTCTTCTTTTTGGGAAAGGGAGGGATCTTCCAAGTGCCATCCCCCCTAGGAGTTTCCCCTTTCTTTGGAGGTTCTGAGTGCAACTTGGGTGCTTTGCTAGGGGGCTGGTTCTTTTTACTCAGAAAGCCTCTCCGTTCCAAGAGCCGCCGCCTCTTGACAAAATTTCGGTGCTTGGCATTTCCTTCTAATGCCTTTTTGGGAGGAGGTTCCCCAAAGTCCAGATTGAGGAGTAATGTAGACATGTGGACAGCAGGTGGTGGAAAGGCAGTTGGAAAGAGTAGCTTACAGATAAAAGAAGGATGGGGGACTCATTCTCTGCTGAATCCCAATGTCCCACATGTGGAGGTCTGCAGTACACCCTGGAGAAGAAAGTGATCCTGGTAATTGAGCCTTTAAGTCTGGGAGAAAAATGAGATAAGACCAATCTCTATAGAGTTTAAGGGAGGAAAGACATCAGAGCAGTCTCTCAGAAAGAGGAGAAATGAAAACGTAACATGAAATGATGGAAAGACCACTGGTGTGAGCCAGGAACCCTGGATTGTGGAGAAGCCTCACAATTAACCAGCCATATGGTCTTAGGAAGGTCATTCCCCATCTCTAAGTCTCAATCTCATTTGTAAATTGAAGGTGCTGGAAGTCCCATAGAGCTCGGAACTCTGAGTCTAGGAAGCCAGAACAGGTGAGCTCTAATACTCTGCCTGCAAAGGGAACATCTAAGCATGCTAGAAAGCAATGAGAGGTATGGTGTAGATGAACTCTGGATTAGCCTGGCATCCGCAGGGCGGGCCCCACGAATAAAGATACAAATCCAGCTATCCCTTTCCCTCGGCTCCAGGTTGGGAGTGGGAGGCATCTCCACATGCATCTCACCCAAGTCCTTCTTTCAAGCAAGGACCTTTGACACTTCCTATCAGCTGAAGGAGGAATCGAAGCTCGGGGTAACCCACTTCAAAAAGCACACTTCGCCTCCGCGGTGGAGACCGTCCCTCCATGCTCACAAACCTACCTCCTAGATGGGCCCCTCTAAGACCGGAAGCGTCCGGAGCCGGATGCGGAAATCGGGGCGCGACGACGAAGCCCGGGACGGCAGGCGCGCGGGTTAGAACGCGCCGGAGGGCGGCGCGCCCGCGCCCGCAGCGCCCCTACCTCAGGTAGAGAGGCCAATGATTCCGAATGTGTAAGGAGCGGCAGCGGCGGCGGAGGTGGGGGCGGCGTGGGTGGGGGCGGGGGCGGGATGCGCTCCCCGGCCCCTCTAGCCCCGTGGAGGTACAACTCGAAGGTGTGGGGAGGCCGCGACAAACCGGAAAAAAGGCAGTGCACCGGATACCCCGGGCCTCACTTCCGGGAGAAGAGGAAGGAGTGTATGGGAGGGGGCGGGACCTGGAACTTGGCCCGCCCCTCTCCTTGAGCTTGGCGCTGCGGCAGGGTTCTGTGGCGTCACTGCACTGTCATCCTGTCCCACCTGTCTCCGACGCTGACACCTTCGCCTGTGAGACGTCGCGACCTGTGACGTCAGGGGGCACCTCAGATCTTTAACTCCAGAATGGGATCCCGGAAAGGCAGCGTCGGGCACCGAACTCAAAATTCTTTTTTCCCGTTCCTCCTGCAGAGCTGAGCCTAGCCCGGGTCCTGGACCTGTGTAGTACTGACCCTGGATTTCTCCTCACCTCATTCTCGCTCCCTGCACTACCTGCTGGACCTCGGAATGCCGGGCATCTCCGCCCGGGGTCTTTCTCACGAGGAGAGGAGGCAGCTAGCTGTTAACCTCACCCGTGTGCTGGCGCTCTACCGTTCCATCCTGGACGCCTACATCATCGTGAGGCCACAGGGGTGTGGGCTGGGTAACCCTGGTCGTGGGCTGGCTAGGGAGAGAATCTGGAGATTTAGTCTGTGATCTCTTTTCTTCTATAAATTTCAGTCTTTTATACAAAAAGGGATTAAAACAGGGGTGATCCCTTTTTTTTTTAAGCTGACATAAAAACATTGATGTTTCTATTATCTAGATTGTTTTGGTAACCTTTCTAAATCCAAGGTAATAAAACACATGGACGTTTGAGCCGTGCCGCCAACTACGTTGAACTTTTTTAGTAGGAATTATTCATTCATCCAAGCTTTGAATAAATTCCTGGTTTTGTGGTGTAGTGGATGGCTCTAGCTTTGGAATCTGACAGACTTGAACTAGTCCTGCTTCCCCTGCTGTGTTAACCTTAGGCTTCTCCCCTGCCCCACTTCTAGTCCTGGTTTCCTCAGCTATAAAATGGATCCCAGGCCAGGCACTGTGGCTCATGTCTGTAATCCTAGCACTCTGTAATCCTAGCACTCAGGGATAGCCAGTTGTACCAGGGGGTGGGGTTAGGGGAGGGGGAAGGAAGTTCAAGAGTAGACTGAGCAAGAGTGATACCTCTTCTCTACAAAAAAATAGAAAAATTAGCTGGGCTCAGTGGCATGTGCCTGTAGTCCCAGCTGTTGCAGGAGGAGAAGGAGGAGCCTTCTCCTAATGACTGACCCAGAGACCAGGCAAGGGAGAAAACAAGCGTTTATTCACCGGTGAGGCTCAGAGGACAGAGTCCAAATTCTGAGCCCCGAACAAAGACTGTAATAATCCTTTATACATTTTTAGGAAGGGTGAGGAGCTCAGTTACAATGTAGTTGTCTCTATTCATAGTGGGGGCAGGATCTTGAGCAGGCAGTGGTCAGTCATGCATGTTGGCCTTGAATTCTTAATCTTTCTGGTGCAGGCCTGTTCTTTGTAAGCAAGTAAGTTAAAGAAGTCATAAAGCAAATTAGCAGTTTTACAACCTTAGTTTCTGGTACAGAGTTCCTATAGAATTTCTACCTGCTTTCTTTCTTTTCTGTGTCACGGCTGGGGACCCCTACCACATTCCCCCTTTTGAGACTCTTATTTTAAGCTGTCTCACTTTCAAATTTCTCATTTTCTTCTATGTCGGCTAGTAATATTTGCCCAGGATAAGGAGGAGGGGCCCGAAAGAACTATGTTTAGTAAGGGCAGTTTCTGTTAGTTTTTGAGTTAATTCTCAGGTGCAAGAGATAATATAGCATTTTACTAAGATAAGTACTCCTATACCTATAGTAAGTGAAGTTAATATAGAGGTCATAAGTCCTAATTATTTTTTAAACCATCTTTCCATCTAATCTCTGATGGGATCTTCTATACTAGAATTTTTAGCTCATTTATTGGCAAGAGTGGTTAGTCCTTGGACTAACCACTATTGGCTTTCGCGATGGTGCCATCAGGGGCTGTGTTTTAAGGAATATAGGTGCAACACTGTCCTCCAATCATTACACAGATACCTCCTTTTTCTGCCAAGATTATGTCTAGAGCTAAACTGTTTTCCCAAGCCATTCTGTTAGTTGGGTCCAATTGTTTAGTAATACCCTTAATGGCATCTCTAGTGTAATTAACAAATCTCTGTTGGTTATAGAAGATGTAATTTATCTAGTCTACGTTTTTATTAACAGTGACTCACCAAAATAGGAAAGATTTAAAACCTGTGGCTATCCTATCTGATTTTAAGCCTTGGACTCATTTGGCACTCCTCGTGGTACCCCAGTAGTATCTAGATGTATATGTGGGTCAAAGGATCCTCCCAGCATTCATCGGACATCTCTCTTGTGTTGGGAGTGAGAGTATAGTTGAGATAGGTTATGAGGATGGAATGCCAGGGTAAAAGGGATAACCAGTTGTCCTGGGGCACAAGTGCCACTCGAGTTCTCTTGAAGAGCCTCAAATAGGTGATGTCCACAATACCACCATATGTTGGCTGGTGGGATGAATAAAGCAGCTTGGTTGGCTAATGAGGAGAATTCTCGCTTTTCATTGCACCCGGTCACATTTCCAACTGAGGCTAAGTTCTCCCACTTAGAGAGGCAGGAGGTGAAATTAGCCCCTGCCGCAGGTGGTGTCATGTCTCTTGGGGGGCTGACCCACAGAGCCCTTAGTTACCAGGAATATCAAGGATAGTGAGGTGCAGGATGCATTTCTCCCAGCCTCAGAGTCTTGGAACAAAGCAACCATGCATGTCATTCCCACTGGGTCTGTGGATCAGCCTAAAGGAAAAGGAACGATCTGAGCTTCCGGTCTTCCTGTCACGCAAGTGTAGCAGTCGCTCTTGTTTAAAGTGCGGACAGAATATTTGATCCATTCCATCCAGGCATTTGCATCCTGGTAACCTGTTTCTGTGGCTAGTGTCTGTTTTAGAGCTTTAATCTTCACTAGTTTTTTTTTTTTTTTGAGACAGAGTCTTACTTTGTTGCCCAGGCTAGAGTGAGTGCCGTGGCGTCAGCCTGGTTCACAGCAACCTCAATCTCCGGGGCTCAGCGATCCTACTGCCTCAGCCTCCCGAGTAGCTGGGACTACAGGCATGTGCCACCATGCCCGGCTAATTTTTTGTATATATATTTTTAGTTGGTCAATTAATTTATTTCTATTTTTGGTAGAGACGGGGTCTCGCTCAGGCTGGTTTTGATCTCCTGACCTTGAGCAATCCACCCGCCTCGGCCTCCCAAAGTGCTAGGATTACAGGCGTGAGCCACCACGCCCGGCCTTCCACTAGTTTTTTTTTTTTTTTTTTTGAGACAGAGTCTCACTTTGTTGTCCAGGCTAGAGTGAGTGCCGTGGAGTCAGCCTAGCTCACAGCAACCTCAAACTCCTGGGCTTGAGTGATCCTCCTGCCTCAGCCTCCCGAGTAGCTGGGACTACAGGCATGCGCCACCATGCCCAGCTAATTTTTTATATACATATCAGTTGGCCAATTAATTTCTTTCTATTTATAGTAGAGACGGGGTCTCGCTCTTGCTCAGGCTGGTTTTGAACTCCTGACCTTGAGCAATCCGCCCGCCTCAGCCTCCCAAGAGCTAGGATTACAGGCGTGAGCCACCACGCCCAGCCCTAATTTTCACTATTGGGTCACTATTGTGATTACAGATTTATCTTTATTCTTTTGGGGCTTGGGGGCCTCTGTGCTTGTAGGCACAAAGCGAGTCTCATTCTGGGGTTCAAGGAACTGTAGCTTAAATTTCCCAATGGGATCTTTGCCTGATACATCAGCCTCTAGACTATAGACTCTGGACAGTATGGGGGTGTGGTCTAGAGTGGTAGGGACGTTAACAGTTACATGTACTGGGTTACACCACACGGGCTGAGAATCTGGAGCTGAAGTTCCCAGGGTGAAGTGTGACTTAGGTTTTAATGTAGGGCATCCAGAGATGGAGGTCCAACCCTGAAATTGGGTGGTCTACAAGACGTCAGTCTAGGACTGGCATGGCTGGCCATAGATTTTAGGGCAACCCCCTTCTTTACTAGTTAGATGGGGCCTATCTTCATCTGCATAGTTTCCAACCACAGACCCATCTGTAGTGAAAGGACAAAGATATTTGTCAACTGAGGAAAGTTGTCTCTGATTTTGTAGGGAGTCACAGGTTAACACTTGACAGGTATCAAAACTGACTATTAGTGAGGAAGAAGATCTAGTTACAAGTTACATTAATAATAATTAGCCCTTCGGCTATATGTTTTCCAAAATGATGGAATAGAACTATCTCTAATAACCGTAATCCCAGTCCACTGATTCCTAAGGGAATCATTATATGTGTCTTCATCAGGGGCATCCTCAGGCTTCGGCTGTGCGTAGACCAGTCAGCTTCCGGGATGTGACTGGAGCAGGGATAGACAAGCGAGCTCTTCCTCTTCAGGCACACCAGTACCAAAATTATTGATACCCATTGCCCTGAGTCAGTTTAAAATAGTCTATTTGAAGGTCCTCGAAGGGTGTAGCACCTACTGTCTGAATTCCGGGAGGCGTGGCTGGGCCTTGTTTGGTGTTTTGTTGGCTGCAAATGGTGCAACAAGAGCTTGTGTTCTTAGCCAAAGCAGGGAGGTGTTAGATGTAAAAGTATCTTCCCAAAAGTTTTTCTGTAGCTTCTTGCCCAAGATAAGTGGCCTCATAGGCTGTTTTCACTATATTTGGCTTGAGGAGGTAAGGCACAGCTATTCGTCCATCAGGAAGAATCATCCATCCTGTTTCGTCTGTCGCAGCCCCTTCTCATTTTAATCATTCCTACTCTAGGGGCGAGTATTTGGGGATTTCTTCATTTGGAAGCCACGGCAGTAAGGGTGCCATCAGCCCTTTTGTTGTCTCTGACTCCCGGGTAGCTGCCTTCTTTGCCTCATCATCAGCCTTAGCATTTCCCAAAGCCTCCAAGCTAGATCCCTTCTGATGTCCCTTGTAATGTATGACTGCCACCTTCTTAGGTTCCCAGATAGCCTCTAATAGCCTTAATATTTCTTTTGGATGTTTGAACTCTTTTTCCCCTGCATTTAAGAGTCCCGTCTCTCGGCCAGGTGCAGTGGCTCACGCCTGTAATCCTAGCACTCTGGGAGGCCGAGATAGGTAGATCGTTTGAGCTCAGGAGTTTGAGACCAGCCTAAGCAAGAGCGAGGCCCCGTCTCTACTAAAAATAGAAAGAAATGGGCTGGACAACTAAAAATATATACATAGAAAAAATTAGCCAGGCATGGTGGTGCATGCCTGTAGTCCCAGCTACTTGTGAAGCTGAGGCAGGAGGATCGCTTGAGCCTAGGAGTTTGAGGTTGCTGTGAGCAAGTCCCCTCTCTTGATATAGTGCCCCATGTACATATAATGTCAAAAAGGCATATGTAGAGTCTGTATAGATGTTTACCGCCTTCTCTTTTCCAGTCTTGAGCCCTTGTGAGGGCAATGAGTCAATGAGTTCAGCTTTCAGTGCAGAAGTGCTGACTGTCAGGGATTGGGCTCTAGCACCTCATCCTGAGTGACC